CGGCAGTCAAACGCCTGTGTCCAAAAGATAAACGGAACCAGTCATTGAGAGCAAGTTTTTTACTCTGTTGTAGAGCATAGTATTGACTGATCCAGTCCTTTGCTCTTCTTACTTCCACTTCGTCTATTTTTGCGAATTTGCCCTTGCTAGGTTGGCTAACACCTTGCTTCTCTTTCAGAACTAAAGTTAGAGCTGACTGAGATGGAGGTTCGAGGTCAAGTTGTTGTGTGGACCGCGACAACTCCCTGACACGCAGCATCCAGTCTCCTAGACAAGCTCGTATTTGCTGCACCCATGAAAGACAGGGAGCTTTTCTGGCAATTTGGGAAACATGACTTTTGAAACGTTTTATCAAGACGGGTAGACGCCTGAAAACAACAATACATTGTATTATTCTTAAGAAATTCAGCTACCAAACCTGAAATGGGGTAACGGTAAGCTTCAAATTGCAGATTGAAATACCGTCCCCCAACACAAACAACTAAGAATCAATCACAAATAAAGCTAGACTTTGGAGTAACTCCATCGAGGAATTGGTTGAAAGTGTCAGCAAGTAGAAACTGATGGTAACGAAGTGTATCAAGTGCACAAATGTGAAGCATATATAGTAAGACTTTGGCGAACTATATCAATAGAAAAATTATAACTGTTGGCTGCAAAAGCACATTAATGAATGTGGACTTATGCAACGCGAGGATGCATAGACAAAATGAATGATTGGCACACTGCAACACAAAAGAATGGGTGTGTCAACTAAGTTTATAATTAACGAAGAGTGGCAATAACGAAAAAAAATGACCAACGAAGCTTACCTAATATTAATAGGTAGCTCTCTTTCGCCTCCCATCTCAGACAACCACTTCTGTAACTCAGTTGAGAGCTGGAAAATGGCACAGCCTTGACCATTAGCCATCTGTACAGTTCCCAGAGCAGAAAGTGCAGCGTCGGAGATTGGGACGTCGATCGACGTCTTTACCGAAGCTTCAAAAATGGGTTTCACTGACTGACGCAGAATGCCCTCCCAGGTACGTACCTATGGAGACAGATCAAATAGCAAAGATCGGAAAATGAGATAAACTGTGATAATGAACACGTACATGCTTATGGATGGTACGCTTGCATCGATCAACATTTTCCTTCATAGTCCAAAAGCTGATATAATCACCCCACTTCATAATAGATATAAAGTTCTTTATCGCCTCACGAATGGGCTTTTGTTGATCAAATAGGAACTCATCCACGTGAGGGATAAACTGGCCGTAGAACCAAATGACATTTCCTACTAACTTTCGAGCCGCCACTCGCTCTGAAACAGAAGAAAATAATCTTAATAAGCTTATTTTCAGTCCACTTTTTAGGCTACTACTCATGCATCGAGTGAGAGTTAAATGTAGACAATATAAACAACTGAATGACTCAGCGGAAGGGGGAACGTGAAAACCCGCCCACGTACCCCAAGTCAAAGTTATAGTTTGGTGAAATGGTACTCACGAGTGTCTGGGAGACCAGGCCAGATGGCCAGAGCGCTGTGAAGGGCAGCCAAGAGACGCCAACGGGCATGGAATTCGCCTATTGGACCATGTTCCATGAATTCAAGCAAAACTTTGCACTGATCTTTTTGGAGATCAGTAGCGATAGGAGCGCTGGAGGGCTGAAGAAAAACGTACTGAAGGTGGAACCAGAGGGGGACACAGTGGTCTGAAGCGGTTTCTGTGGCGCCGTCCAATGTTGCTAGCCAGCATCTGCGGAATTAGGAGAAAAAGAGATTGCAGCTAGTAGAGCGAAATCATTTCAATTTAGATTTAGGAAAACCATGTGAAATAGAAGAGACAATTGTGATAGTTTAATTTAAAACAAGTAAATAACTTCAGAAGAGAGTCGCTAAACATACAAGTATTGTAGCGAACCTCTGATGAGCATGGGTGGCAAAACGTTTGGAGACTAGTAAGGAATGGATTTTAAGAAAGTGAAGTCAAAAAGTATATGGAGCGCAGCAAAAATAACTAGATAGTTCAATTGACAAGAATGTAAGTACACAATAGAACGACCAACATGGGCCTCACTATTTAGGTCCGCATGATTCAAACCTTCAAGCAATCTTATACGAAACCACTGATCCGTTAGGAGAAGATTTAAGCACTGATCTTGAGCCAAATTGCAACGAAACATCAACAACAATTAATGGCCCA